GAGAGAAGACACAGGGTTTCAGCAGAGAGAGAAGACACGGGGTTTCAGCAGAGAGGAGACACAGGGTTTCAGCAGAGAGAAGACACAGGGTTTCAGCAGAGAGAGGAGACACAGGGTTTCAGCAGAGAGGAGACACGGGGTTTCAGCAGAGAGAGGAGACACAGGGTTTCAGCAGAGAGAAGACACAGGGTTTCAGCAGAGAGAGGAGACACAGGGTTTCAGCAGAGAGAAGACACAGGGTTTCAGCAGAGAGAGGAGACACAGGGTTTGAGCAGAGAGAAGACACAGGGTTTCAGCAGAGAGAGGAGACACAGGGTTTCAGCAGAGAGGAGACACGGGGTTTCAGCAGAGAGAAGACACGGGGTTTGAGCAGAGAGAAGACACAGGGTTTCAGCAGAGAGAGAAGACACGGGGTTTCAGCAGAGAGAAGACACGGGGTTTCAGCAGAGAGAAGACACAGGGTTTCAGCAGAGAGAAGACACAGGGTTTCAGCAGAGAGAAGACACGGGGTTCAGCAGAGAGGAGACACAGGGTTTCAGCAGAGAGAGAAGACACAGGGTTTCAGCAGAGAGGAGACACAGGGTTTGAGCAGAGAGAAGACACGGGGTTTCAGCAGAGAGAAGACACGGGGTTTCAGCAGAGAGGAGACACAGGGTTTCAGCAGAGAGAAGACACGGGGTTTCAGCAGAGAGGAGACACGGGGTTTCATCAGAGAGAAGACACAGGGTTTCAGCAGAGAGAGAAGACACGGGGTTTCAGCAGAGAGAAGACACAGGGTTTCAGCAGAGAGAAGACACGGGTTTCAGCAGAGAGAAGACACGGGGTTTCAGCAGAGAGAAGACACGGGGTTTCAGCAGAGAGAAGACACGGGGTTTCAGCAGAGAGGAGACACGGGGTTTCAGCAGAGAGAAGACACGGGGTTTCAGCAGAGAGAAGACACGGGGTTTCAGCAGAGAGAAGACACGGGGTTTCAGCAGAGAGAAGACACGGGGTTTCAGCAGAGAGGAGACACAGGGTTTCAGCAGAGAGGAGACACGGGTTTCAGCAGAGAGAAGACACGGGGTTTGAGCAGAGAGAAGACACAGGGTTTCAGCAGAGAGAAGACACGGGGTTTCAGCAGAGAGAAGACACGGGGTTTCAGCAGAGAGAAGACACGGGGTTTCAGCAGAGAGAAGACACAGGGTTTCAGCAGAGAGAAGACACGGGGTTTCAGCAGAGAGAAGACACGGGGTTTCAGCAGAGAGAAGACACTGGGTTTCAGCAGAGAGAAGACACGGGGTTTCAGCAGAGAGAAGACACGGGGTTTCAGCAGAGAGGAGACACAGGGTTTCAGCAGAGAGAGGAGACACAGGGTTTCAGCAGAGAGGAGACACGGGGTTTCAGCAGAGAGAAGACACGGGGTTTGAGCAGAGAGAAGACACAGGGTTTCAGCAGAGAGAAGACACGGGGTTTCAGCAGAGAGAAGACACGGGGTTTCAGCAGAGAGAAGACACAGGGTTTCAGCAGAGAGAAGACACGGGGTTTCAGCAGAGAGAAGACACAGGGTTTCAGCAGAGAGAAGACACAGGGTTTCAGCAGAGAGGAGACACAGGGTTTGAGCAGAGAGAAGACACGGGGTTTCAGCAGAGAGAAGACACGGGGTTTCAGCAGAGAGGAGACACAGGGTTTCAGCAGAGAGAAGACACGGGGTTTCAGCAGAGAGGAGACACGGGGTTTCATCAGAGAGAAGACACAGGGTTTCAGCAGAGAGAGAAGACACGGGGTTTCAGCAGAGAGAAGACACAGGGTTTCAGCAGAGAGAAGACACAGGGTTTCAGCAGAGAGAAGACACGGGGTTTCAGCAGAGAGAGAAGACACGGGGTTTCAGCAGAGAGGAGACACGGGGTTTCAGCAGAGAGAGAAGACACAGGGTTTCAGCAGAGAGAAGACACGGGGTTTCAGCAGAGAGAAGACACGGGGTTTCAGCAGAGAGAGAAGACACAGGGTTTCAGCAGAGAGAAGACACAGGGTTTCAGCAGAGAGAAGACACAGGGTTTCAGCAGAGAGAAGACACAGGGTTTCAGCAGAGAGAAGACACGGGGTTTCAGCAGAGAGAAGACACAGGGTTTCAGCAGAGAGAGAAGACACGGGGTTTCAGCAGAGAGAAGACACGGGGTTTCAGCAGAGAGAGAAGACATGGGTTTCAGCAGAGAGAAGACACAGGGTTTCAGCAGAGAGAGAAGACACGGGGTTTCAGCAGAGAGGAGACACGGGGTTTCAGCAGAGAGAGAAGACACGGGGTTTCAGCAGAGAGAAGACACGGGGTTTCAGCAGAGAGAGAAGACACGGGGTTTCAGCAGAGAGAGAAGACACGGGGTTTCAGCAGAGAGGAGACACAGGGTTTCAGCAGAGAGAAGACACAGGGTTTCAGCAGAGAGAGAAGACACGGGGTTTCAGCAGAGAGGAGACACAGGGTTTCAGCAGAGAGAAGACACAGGGTTTCAGCAGAGAGAGAAGACACGGGGTTTCAGCAGAGAGGAGACACAGGGTTTCAGCAGAGAGAAGACACAGGGTTTCAGCAGAGAGAGAAGACACAGGCTTTCAGCAGAGAGAGGAGACACAGGGTTTCAGCAGAGAGAGGAGACACAGGGTTTCAGCAGAGAGAGAAGACACGGGGTTTCAGCAGAGAGAAGACACGGGGTTTCAGCAGAGAGAAGACACAGGGTTTCAGCAGAGAGGAGACACGGGGTTTCAGCAGAGAGGAGACACAGGGTTTCACAAGAGAGGAGACACGGGGTTTCAGCAGAGAGGAGACACAGGGTTTCAGCAGAGAGGAGACACAGGGTTTCGGCAGAGAGGAGACACAGGGTTTCGGTAGAGAGGAGACACGGGGTTTCGGCAGAGAGAAGACACAGGGTTTCAGCAGAGAGGAGACACGGGGTTTCGGCAGAGAGGAGACACGGGGTTTCGGCAGAGAGAAGACACGGGTTTCGGCAGAGAGGAGACACGGGGTTTCGGCAGAGAGGAGACACGGGGTTTCGGCAGAGAGGAGACACAGGGTTTCAGCAGAGAGAAGACACGGGGTTTCAGCAGAGAGAAGACACAGGGTTTCAGCAGAGAGGAGACACAGGGTTTCAGCAGAGAGAAGACACAGGGTTTCAGCAGAGAGAAGACACAGGGTTTCAGCAGAGAGGAGACACAGGGTTTCAGCAGAGAGAAGACACAGGGGTTTCAGCAGAGAGGAGACACGGGGTTTCGGCAGAGAGGAGACACAGGGTTTCAGCAGAGAGAAGACACGGGGTTTCAGCAGAGAGGAGACACAGGGTTTCAGCAGAGAGAAGACACAGGGTTTCAGCAGAGAGAAGACACAGGGTTTCAGCAGAGAGAAGACACAGGGTTTCAGCAGAGAGAAGACACGGGGTTTCAGCAGAGAGAAGACACAGGGTTTCAGCAGAGACTTAAAGTGACCGTCCAGTGCCTTGGTCAAGGGCACAAGCCCTGACTGACTGACTGGATCCTGGAGTGAACGGGAAACTAACAGAGAATTAAAGACTGCTCCAGAACAACAGATATTATATCACCTCTTAATATGAATTATCTAAAGACATGTAGCCTGTGGTGCTGTATCTAATATATTTGGATGTATGCCCCTTCAGGAGAGTTTCCATGGAAAAGAGTGTGTGTGAGTGTGAGTGTGAGTGTGTGTGTGTGTGTGTGTGTGTGTGTGTGTGTGTGTGTGTGTCCTTGGCTGCAGGTATATAAGTCGGTCAGATCGACGGAGCAGCAGAAGAAGAGGAGCGGGCAGCGAGAAAACACACCGCGATAAAAAGAAGAAGAAGAAGAGACAACGTGGTGAGATTATTATTATTATATATTTTTCTTTTAAATGTATATATTTTTTTTATTTAAATAGATTATTTATTTTATTTTTATTATTATATGTATGTATATGTAACAAATATTATAAAATAATTAAATATAAATCCATTCTTTTATGTTCATTGTTTAAATCAAAATGCACATATAAATCCTATTTTCTATATTTATTATGTTTAACAAATAGTGTCTGTATGTTCTTGTCTCTGATTGGCTAGGAGAATGTTTCCTACATGGCTATTGGTTGTGCTGGTGGTGGTGGGCGGGGCTAGAGGAGCTGTCAGTCAGTGCTGGGAGCATCCGAGCTGCCAGGACCTGAGCTCTGAGAGCAGCATGCTGGTAAAACTTTAATATTTATTACAGTTTTTTTAAATACTATATATTTACTTTTTCTGACGTGTTTTGATGGTGTTTTATTTACTGAATTTTTTAATTTAATTAATACATTTTTGTTTGTTTGCACATTTGTTGATTTTATGGGAAAAATCAGGAATAAAATCAGGATATATTTGATATTTACCTCTTTCCTGCAGTTATGCATCCAGCTGTGTCACGATGACCTCACAGCGGAGACCCCCGTCATCCCTGGCCCCGCCCACCTGCAGCCCCCCCCTCCTTTAGACTCCTCCCCCTCCCCCTCCTCCTCTTCCTCCCCCTCCCCTCTAGAGGCAAAGCGCTCGTACACCATGGAGCATTTCCGCTGGGGGAAACCTGTGGGAAGGAAACGACACCCGGTCAAAGTGTTTTCTGATGACGATGAGGAAGGGGAGGAGCCTGCGGAGGAGGAGGAGCTGAGGAGGCGGGGCTTAAAGGAGGAAGAAGAAGAGGTGATGAAGAAGGACGGGTCGTACAAGATGAAGCACTTCCGATGGGGCTCTCCTCCCAAAAGGTACGGAGGATTCATGAAGAGTTGGGACGAGAGAAACCAGCGTCCGTTGATCACGCTGTTCAAGAACGTGATCAATAAGAGCGCGCAGCAGTGAGGGGGTTTCTCATTGGCCGAGAGCCTCGTCAGAAGACTAATCAGTCGACCAATGGAAAGGCTCGGATGCTGAACGACTGGAAGAGAAGACGTTTATTGATTTCTGTAAATACCTGTGAAGGATGTGAGAGAATAAAGAGAGGTTTGCAAGCAAGATGAAACGTCTACTGGTTTTATACTTTCATTAATATTTAAAACATTCATTTTAGAGTTGTTTATTAATTAAAGTCTTACCTGAATTTCCCTCCAAGAGCAGTGAGGGGGCGGGGCCTACTGAGTCTCGTTAGCAGACTAATTAGTCGACCAATGGAAAGGCTCGGATGCTGAGTGACTGTTGATTTCTGTAAATAACTGTGAACGCATAAAGAGTGCAAGCAAGATGAAACGTCTACTGGTTTTTATACTTCAATTATTATATTAAAAGAAACATTAATTAGAGTTATGAATGAATACATATCCTACCTGAGTTCCCTCCAGGTGTATCGTGATACAGGAAGAAGCATCAGGTGTTTAGGAAGTATAAAAACACAATGCAATAGAGCGGTGCAGTGATGGTTCCCTCGGCAACAAGCAACGGGATCTCTCCAGAGGGTTTAGGAAAAGAGCTGGAAATACGGTCTGTGGAAAAGGAACCTGTTTGATAAATGTTTAGTTCAGCCGGATACTCTCCACATGTCTCTACTTTTATAATGTTTGAATCATAAGTCTAATGTCCAGAAGCTAAATGCTAACGTGATGCTATAAAGGAACTACAGGCGAGTCCAGCAGCACGACTTCAACGTCACGCCAACTTCAGATCCATATTCAAACACACAGATTCTAAATGGTACGAGTTGAAGCGTTTGTTTGAACACTTTGCAGGAGGTAGGTACTTGCTTTCAAGCAGAACAGGGCAGACTAACTTAGAGCAGTGTTTACGTGTTCGGTGTAATGACGTACAACGTCCTCCACGACTTCTGTAGTCCTATTCAGCCACTTGGTAACAACCATCGCTTTTCAGACACGTCAACTCTTCAGAAATCACCAGTGGGGTCACTGCTGATGGATTTAATGTCCTAGAACAAAACGTGATCCGTCTCTTCAATGTGTCTCAACCACAGACCTTATTTACAGCTATCTTCCACAACCTATGGAGAGATCCCATTGGCTCTGAGACGAGGGAACAGGAAGTGGAGAGATCCCATTGGCTCTGAGATGAGGGAACAGGAAGTGGAGAGATCCCATTGGCTCTGAGACGAGGGAACAGGAAGTGGAGAGATCCCATTGGCTCTGAGACGAGGGAACAGGAAGTGGTGAAATGCTGACTCACTTCCTGGTTTTAGGACGCGTCACTGCACCACTCTATAGCATGGATGTATAATAAGAGCTGGATACAGCGTGGGAGGCGGGGCCTCGTTCATTCCTATGAGAGCTGCTCATTGGCTCATGAAGACAAAATGGCCCAACTTTTGAGAGAGCGAAACGTCACGAAAGTATTCATATAATCATATAATCCGTTCTTATTGTGCGTCCATGGGTAAAGGTGAAACTCATGTAGTACTGAACACGTCACATGACCGTGCCGGGCGGCGCGGTCCCGTTAGATCCGCGTTCATAATGCAGAGGAAAATAACTCTCAGAATAACGTTATTAGCACATTTTACAACTTGGAATGTTTTTAATAAGAACAAATGTTCATACTGGGTCGTTCATTTAGTTTAAAAAAAATGATCCAACGATTTACAGAGGTCTCTTTCCCGATGTTAGTCAATAGAGAAAGTGTTTCCGGGCTCAGCGACTGATACGGAAGTGTAGTGCCGCCGTTTGGCCACAACGAATATTTCCCTCAGAGTCCGGCGCACTTCCTGGGGGCTCGGTCTAACGGACCGGAGTGATAAGAAAACAGAAAACAGATTCTTATTCATTATTTTGTGTTTATTTGTTCAGATAAACAAAAGCAAAGGAGTCTTAAAGCCCCTGGAAATAATTGGAATATTCTCTACGACATAACCAACAAACAAGAAGGGAAACGTCACATTAAAAATCACAATATTATAATATAATTGACTTTTAAACTCACATTTAATTACAACTGAAAACAGAAGGGGAACACAACTTCAATAAAGTGAATGATTCCCATGTTCTCCAGCAACAGGCCCGAGGCTGTGATGTACCACATGTTCTCCAGCAACAGGCCCGAGGCTGTGATGTACCACATGTTCTCCAGCAACAGGCCCGAGGCTGTGATGTACCACATGTTCTCCAGCAACAGGCCCGAGGCTGTGATGTTCCCACATGTTCTCCAGCAAACAGCCCGAGGCTGTGATGTACCACATGTTTCTCCAGCAACAGGCCCGAGGCTGTGATGTCCACATGTTCTCCAGCAACAGGCCCGAGGCTGTGATGTCCCACATGTTCTCCAGCAACAGGCCCGAGGCTGTGATGTACCACATGTTCTCCAGCAACAGGCCCGAGGCTGTGATGTACCACATGTTCTCCAGCAACAGGCCCGAGGCTGTGATGTCCCACATGTTCTCCAGCAACAGGCCAGAGGCTGTGATGTCCCACATGTTCTCCAGCAACAGGCCCGAGGCTGTGATGTACCACATGTCTCCAGCACAGGCCCGAGGCTGTGATGTACCACATGTTCTCCGCAACAGGCCCGAGGCTGTGGATGTACCACATGTTTCTCCAGCAACAGGCCCGAGGCTGTGATGTACCCACATGTTCTCCAGCAACAGGCCCGAGGCTAGGTCCCAGCAAGCCCGAGGCTGTGATGTACCACATGTTTCTCCAGCAAACAGGCCCGAGGCTGTGATGTACCACATGTTCTCCAGCAACAGGCCCGAGGCTGTGATGTCCACATGTTTCTCCAGCAACAGGCCAAGAGGCTGTGATGTCCCACATGTTCTCCAGCAACAGGCCCGAGGCTGTGATGTACCACATGTTCTCCAGCAACAGCCCGAGGCTGTGATGTACCACATGTTCTCCAGCAACAGGCCCGAGGCTGTGATTGTACACACATGTTCTCCAGCAACAGGCCCGAGGCTGTGATGTACCACATGTTCTTCCAGCAAACAGGCCGAGGCTGGTGATGTACCACATGTTACTCCAGCAAACAGGCCCCGAGGCTGTGACGTACCCACATGTTCTCCAGCAACAGGCCCGAGGCTGTGATGTACCACATGTTCTCCAGCAACAGGCCCGAGGCCTGTGATGTACCACATGTTCTCCAGCAACAGGCCCGAGGCTGTGATGTACCACATGTTCTCCAGCAACAGGGCCCGAGGCTGTGATGGTACCACCTGTTTCTCCAGCAACAGGCCCGAGGCTGTGATGTACCACATCGTTTCTCCAGCAACAGGCCCGAGGCTGTGATGTACCACATGTTCTCCAGCACAGGCCCGAGGCTGTGTGATGTACCACATGTTCTCCAGCAACAGGCCCGAGGCTGTGATGTACCACATGTTCTCCAGCAACAGGCCCGAGGCTGTGTACTGTCCCACATGTTCTCCAGCAACAGGCCCGAGGCTGTGATGTACCACATGTTCTCCAGCAACAGGCCCGAGGCTTGTGATGTCCCACATGTTCTCCAGCAACAGGCCCGAGGCTGTGATGTCCCCACATGTTCTCCAGCAACAGGCCCGAGGCTGTGATGTACCACATGTTCTCCAGCAACAGGCCCGAGGCTGTGATGTACCACATGTTCTCCAGCAACAGGCCCGAGGCTGTGATGTCCCACATGTTCTCCAGCAACAGGCCCGAGGCTGTGATGTACCACATGTTCTCCAGCAACAGGCCCGAGGCTGTGATGTCCCACATGTTCTCCAGCAACAGGCCCGAGGCTGTGATGTCCCACATGTTCTCCAGCAACAGGCCCGAGGCTGTGATGTACCACATGTTCTCCAGCAACAGGCCCGAGGCTGTGATGTCCCACATGTTCTCCAGCAACAGGCCCGAGGCTGTGATGTCCCACATGTTCTCCAGCAACAGGCCCGAGGCTGTGATGTACCACATGTTCTCCAGCAACAGGCCCGAGGCTGTGATGTACCACATGTTCTCCAGCAACAGGCCAGAGGCTGTGATGTACCACATGTTCTCCAGCAACAGGCCCGAGGCTGTGATGTACCACATGTTCTCCAGCAACAGGCCCGAGGCTGTGATGTACCACATGTTCTCCAGCAACAGGCCCGAGGCTGTGATGTACCACATGTTCTCCAGCAACAGGCCCGAGGCTGTGATGTACCACATGTTCTCCAGCAACAGGCCCGAGGCTGTGATGTACCACATGTTATCACTCATCTGCAGATCATTCTATGGATCAATCGTCTGTAAAATGTCAAAGAGTTATACATGTCTACAAATGTATGAGAAAATTATTAGAAAAAGTATTTTTATTTTTTAACAATTAATATTAAAATGTATTTTGTTAGTAGGAAAAAATCTGTTTATTTATTACTATTTATTTAATGTATTTGTAGCACCTGAGGGTCTATAGACACACCTGAGGGTCTATAGACACACCTGAGGGTCTACAGACACACCTGAGGGTCTATAGACACATCTGAGGGTCTATAGACACACCTGAGGGTCTAATAGACACACCTGAGGGTCTACAGACACACCTGAGGGTCTATAGACACACCTGAGGGTCGAATATACACACCTGAGGGTCTATAGACACATCTGAGGGTCTATAGACACACCTGAGGGTCTAATAGACACACCTGAGGGTCTACAGACACACCTGAGGGTCTATAGACCACCTGAGGGTCTAATAGACACACCTGAGGGTCTATAGACACACCTGAGGGTCTAATAGACACACCTGAGGGTCTACAGACACACCTGAGGGTCTATAGACCACCTGAGGGTCTAATAGACACACCTGAGGGTCTATAGACACACCTGAGGGTCTATAGACACACCTGAGGGTCTATAGACACACCTGAGGGTTAATAGACACAGAGGTCGGGGAACTTCATCTCGTGGAGCGGCGTGGAGCGAGGAGGAGCGAAACCAGACGGAGAGGGAGGAGGACGGACGATCAGAGAAAACACCTGATCCAGACGAGACTGCAGCAGGGAGCTCTGCGCACACGCGCACACACACACACACACACACGCACACACACACACACACACACACACACACACACACACACACACACACACACACACACACACACACACACACACACACACACACACACACACACACACACACACACACACACACACACACACACACACACACACACACACACACACACACACACACACACACACACACACACACACACACACACACACACACACACACACACACACACACACACACACACACACACACACACACACAAATATATATTAAAATTACAAAATAAATGTCAAAATATAACGCAAACGTTTTTTTATTCTGGTTGCTTTAAATAAAAATAAAAAGATATGTATTATTTGAAATAAATATAAAACTATAGATGAGATAAAGAGACGGACCCGGGCTCCGCAGTGAGCGGCGATCTCCTCAAACGGCGCCGTCTGAAATCTCTCCTTCATCTTCCTCCTGCGCTCCTCTTCCTCCGCCCCCCCGCTGTCCTCTGCACCGGAAACAGCAGAATCAAATGTTAGAAAATAAATAAAAACTCAAGTTAAAATAGAATACAAACATGTTACTTGTTAGACGCTTTTATCCAAAGCGACCTACATACTCAATACTGTGGGCAATCCCCACAGGAGCAATTAGGGGTGAAGTGTCTCAGGGACACAACGACATGCTGACTGCAGTGGGGTTTGAACCTGTGACCCCCATACCAAGGCTCTATCCACTGCGCCACACGCCTCCCGTGAGAAAAGAAAACACTTTCTAAAATAATTTACACATGGCCTATTGTAGATTAATGAAACAATACATGAAAGGATTCATGTAATCAATAACTATAAACTGATGGTGTTTTAGATTTCAAAAAATATATAAACTGTGCCTCTCCCGGCCCGCGCCTTTCATTCTGGGAGACATGTGCCTACTGCTGAGCATAGCGCCTCTATGGTTAGCTTCTCTGGTTAGCTCCTCTGGTTAGCTCCTATGGTTAGCTCCTCTGGTTAGCTCCTATGGTTAGCTTCTCTATGGTTAGCTCCTCTGGTTAGCTCCTATGGTTAGCTTCTCTATGGTTAGCTCCTCTGGTTAGCTCCTATGGTTAGTTTCTCTATGGTTAGCTCCTCTATGGTTAGCTCCTCTATGGTTAGCTTCTCTATGGTTAGTTTCTCTATGGTTAGCTTCTCTATGGTTAGCTTCTCTATGGTTAGTTTCTCTATGGTTAGCTCCTCTATGGTTAGCTTCTCTATGGTTAGTTTCTCTATGGTTAGCTCCTATGGTTAGTTTCTCTATGGTTAGCTTCTCTATGGTTAGTTTCTCTATGGTTAGTTTCTCTATGGTTAGCTCCTATGGTTAGCTTCTCTATGGTTAGCTCCTATGGTTAGTTTCTCTATGGTTAGCTTCTCTATGGTTAGCTTCTCTATGGTTAGCTCCTATGGTTAGTTTCTCTATGGTTAGCTTCTCTATGGTTAGCTTCTCTATGGTTAGTTTCTCTATGGTTAGTTTCTCTATGGTTAGTTTCTCTATGGTTAGCTTCTCTATGGTTAGTTTCTCTATGGTTAGCTTCTCTATGGTTAGTTTCTCTATGGTTAGTTTCTCTATGGTTAGTTTCTCTATGGTTAGCCTCTCTATGGTTAGCTTATCTATGGTTAGCTTCTCTATGGTTAGTTTCTCTATGGTTAGCCTCTCTATGGTTAGCTTCTCTATGGTTAGCTTCTCTGGTTAGCTCCTCTGGTTAGCTCCTCTGGTTAGCTCCTATGGTTAGCTTCTCTATGGTTAGCTTCTCTATGGTTAGTTTCTCTATGGTTAGCTTCTCTATGGTTAGCTCCTATGGTTAGCTTCTCTATGGTTAGCTTCTCTATGGTTAGCTCCTATGGTTAGCTTCTCTATGGTTAGCTTCTCTATGGTTAGCTCCTATGGTTAGCTCCTATGGTTAGCTTCTCTATGGTTAGCTCCTATGGTTAGCTTCTCTATGGTTAGCTCCTATGGTTAGCTCCTATGGTTAGTTTCTCTATGGTTAGCTTCTCTATGGTTAGCTCCTATGGTTAGCTCCTATGGTTAGCTTCTCTATGGTTAGCTCCTATGGTTAGCTTCTCTATGGTTAGTTTCTCTATGGTTAGCTTCTCTATGGTTAGTTTCTCTATGGTTAGCTTCTCTATGGTTAGCGGTTGGAGTTAAATACAAATGAATTATGTTTCTATCGATGGTCTCTAAAAAGCATTTAAAAATAAATAAATAAAGGTGTTGAAAAAGGATTTTAAATCCATTTATTTGAATGCATAGGAAACAATAATAAACAACAACTCACCGATGGCGTTCTTCAGCGTCTCGAAGGTGATCTGCTCTGTCTGAGGTCTCTGAGGGTTAGGAATGAGTTCATGAGATACTGCCTCAGATATAATCATGTGTCTGAATGCTCTGCAGTGAATCAGACCTGTGGAGCCTCGCAGCAGAACGGGGGGTCCATCTGCAGAGACGCCACGTCCACCAGGCTCTGTCTGCGGGACAGACGCTCCTCCTCTGCAACACAATCACATTCAGGTTCATTACCAGGTAGGTTGACACGTGGGCGTACTGGGAGTACTGGGAGTACTGGGAGTACTGCTACTGAGTACTGGGAGTACTGGGAGTACTACTACTGAGTACTGGGAGTACTGGGAGTACTGGGAGTACTACTCCTGAGTACTGGGAGTACTGCTACTGAGTACTGGGAGTACTGGGAGTACTGCTACTGAGTACTGGGAGTACTGGGAGTACTGCTACTGAGTACTGGGAGTACTGGGAGTACTGCTAATGAGTACTGGGAGTACTGGGAGTACTACTCCTGAGTACTAGGAGTATTACTACTGAGTATACTGGGAGTACTGGGAGTATTACTACTGAGTACTGGGAGTACTGCTACTGAGTACTGGGAGTACTGCTACTGAGTACTGGGAGTACTGGGAGTACTGCTACTGAGTACTGGGAGTACTGGGAGTACTACTCCTG